AACAAATCAAATGCTTTATTCAACTAATTTACAGTTTTTCAAAAAAAGTTTAGCAAAATACTATTCAAATTAAATTAAGGTAAATTTAAATGTATAATTAGATCACGAGGGTATTTTAATTAAGATTTTATTAAATTACTTATGGATCTTTTCATCCATATTTACTTTTAACATAAAGTTTTCATCTTCTATCTTCTTCATTGAGCAATCAAGTAATAGCTTTTATTTTATGGTAAATAATTTCGATTGTTACTTATCAAATTTATAAATACATTTAATCTACGCTTAAATTATTTTTATAGTCTTATTAATGCTGCTACAATTCTATTTTATACTGATCATTTCATTCATTTATTTTCAATTATCATCATAATAAATGGAGAGGAGTATAATTTCAAACACCCTACTTTGCTTATATGTTTTTAATTATGGAGGATTAATTAAATTGTAAGAAAGATTTAATAAATTAGGTTATGCTCTAAGTTGTCTGTTAGATCAATATCAAATATTTATTACATTTAAGGAGATGTTTCATTATTATTTGATAGTTAGGAACATTATATTTGGATTTATTTTCTTATTATACCACTATTGGTGATTTTTTGTTGTATTATTCCTCTTTCATTATTTTTATTGATGTTTCGAAATAGATTTCGTCTAGACATGCTAAAGTTCCGAAAACATATCTGTTATTTATTTAATGAATACAATGAAAAAAGTTATTTTTGGGAATAGATTAAGTTGATCCAAAAGACATGTATTATACTAGTAATTACTAATTTTGAGAACAATGTGCTATTAAAGACAACTTTTTTAGGCATATGTGTAGAAATATATTAAATCTTAGCTATCAATAACAAACCTTATATTATTTCAAAATTTAATAATTTAGATTTAAAATCAGGGTAAATTTGCTTAATAGCTATTTTTCTTGCAGCAAGTCAATATGAAATTTAAGCCTTGTAAAACAACTTTTTTTCGATGTTCCTTTAAGTCATTTTGATTTTATTATTATTTCGACTGAGCTTTCCTTTTATTAAAGACATTTTAAGTATTTATTCCAAAAAATATTCATTACCAATTTTGACAAAAATCCATCCTTTATTAAAATAATCAAATATTACTCTTTTTAAAAACATTGGAAAGTATTTGGATTAAGAATTTGAAAAAAGGAAAAAACTATAAATTAATATTAAAAAAATGAAATCGTCCTTAAAATTTGAAAATGGAAAGGAAGTCAAGTAACATTTTAATTTATTTTAAGAACTTTTACCAAAAGACCAACTCTTAAATCAAATGCAAATAGCAGGGCATCTTTTATTGAGATCAAAAATTAATAATAATTTTGAGTTTATTATTATTCAATATCAATAAGTTTGTTAACTAGTTTTTAATATTGTGTTGATATTTCTTGAATTTTAATTCTGATTGAATATTATTATTATATAGATTTTGTAAATCTAAAGAATTTTTAATATAATTTGATATCCATTCCTAAACAAGAAATAAATTAACAAAAATCCTGATGTAATGATGAAGGAAAATGATCAATAAAGTCATAAATTTGAACTTTTTTTGAAAGCATTTGGGGAGGTTTCATACAAAATACAAAAATTTTTGTTCATCATTTAGCGATCAAATGTTGATAATTAAAGATTGTTAATTGATAATGTCGATTGCGTTTCCTAGTATCTATAAATGAACATGAGCTACTCTATATTGATTGAGACAGAATCACTCATAACAAGTTGAAATACTCCTAGATCTGGAGTTGGTTAATGAGGCACAACTATTAAATCAGATGGTGAAATTAGTTAACTATGTAATTTTCTGGCAAAGTACTTGAGTAAAATAAAACCATTTCAAAAGGAAGTATTTCATAAATCCAACATGAAGCTTAACAGATAGCACTAAGTAGATAGTATGGCAGAGCATGTATGATATGACTTGATAACTAGTAGGTATACAGCTATGATTAGAATGCAGTATAAGCAGAGTTTCAGTAAAGCACTCTTACAAGATTTAGCATACAAGGTATAGGTTTAATAATAACAAGAATAGCAAATGATTGTTGAAGCGCAAATTACCTAATAAGGACGTATTAGCAGTTCAAATGAACCGTAAGAGTTATTAAAGCAACCATATACTAATTT